GAGCATAAACTGAAGTCCTGTCCAGCTGGAGCTAAGAGGCATTCTTGCTGCTGCCACATACCAAACCACACCCAGTTTACAGTTTGGTACATTTATTCCTTCATAGTCTTACCTTAGCATGTATTCTGTTATACAGTGGACTTTTTTTAGCTGTTGACATGCAAACTCGTGCATGTCGCTTAATATATAGTTAATCATTCCACATATTCTTTTGGACATTATGATACAACTGTTCTAGGTGGCTAACCATACATAACATTTACAAAGAGCAAGCCTCATCAGCCATATGTTATCATATTCAGTGAACAACTTGTTGACCACTGTTCAGTTGTATGGTATGCCCTCATGATGTAGTATAAATAATCATCCCAGTTCATTTGGTTGGTTCCAATAAATCATTAGACTCAAGGTTATAAAGTAAAGTGTGCATCTTAACCATACCCAGCACTTTACAGAACTCAAATACAAATTTAAAGTTAACTCCTTCATCTGATTGGATATCTTCAGATGTTCCAAACTGAGCTATGCAATGTTTCACCAATTCATCAGCACATGTATCAACCAATGGATAAGCCTTGGCCCACTTCATGAAGTAGTCTATGACTATGAGTATACACAAATGATCTTGTTCCATCTCCAGAAGTGGACTAGTAATTCCCAGGGTTATTCTCTGCAGAAAAGAACCAACAATTCTTTGCTGGTGTTTAGGCTGGCTTTTTCTATGGATAACATAGACTGTATAATTACCAACACTGAATGTCTAGACTCAAATGAAGCCAAAATAATCACTGCCAAATATTAGCACATTGATGGCCTCAAGGTGTTACACACACCCTTGCTAATGTTTGGCAGTGGTTATTTTTTATGCAAAGTCAAGAGAATTTTGTGCATGAAAACTTTAAGGACCACTAGCTTTAACACAGGCTCATAACCACTGCTCAATGGTTCATAACGATGTTAAGTGCATGTGAACACTTCTCAATATGACAGTCATGCATAACCTTGCTACATGGCAAAGAGTACCTGTACTGGATTTGACACAGAACATTTAACAAATGGATATTCTCACTGTTTGGCAAGACATTACACCTGTATTTCCATGTTGCAGACCTATGTAATGACTTATGATTAATTCACACTTCTTCAATGTTGTTATCCAACATGATATCACCTCTTCAGGGCTTTTAATGTTCATTAATAATTTCAGTGAACCACGATCCACTCAGAAGGTGAACCTCCCACTAAACAATTAGTGTTAGTTCTTTACAAAGAATACAACTGCAAACAGTTATTTATTTATTGTATAATATCTGCATTCAAGAGCTATGAGTATATGATTAGCTTCAGACAATCTAACACTACTTTTACCAAAGCACACCTCAGAGACTGCATTGCTTGCTTGAATTCTTCACGGCACCTGAAGTACATCTCCACCTTAGTAATGGTGAGATAATCTTGGAGAAGTTGACCATAAATTGTCGGTAATACGTAGAAAAACCAAAGAAACTGTAGATTCTCATTTGGTCACAGGTTGAGGTCAATCTTGTAAGACTACTATTTTAGCGAAATCCTTGGAGATTTCTTTTCTACCCACGATATAGCAGAGAAATTCCACTTTCATGTTTGTGAATGTAAATTATCCAGGTTTTAGTTTCAAGCCTGTCTCTTTTAACTGCTGGAAAACCATTTTCAAGTTATTAGCCACCATCTTGAATGTATGCCCAGTTGCAAATTTTTGTGAGCAAAACTTACTAGACCCATCCATTTTCATCTATACTATCCCCCATTCACTAGAACACAGTATATATCAATTGTTGGTTTCAGTCATATTGCTGATATACAGTGAGATCTGCCAGTGTTCTAGCCACTCTGCCTCTCACAGTTGTTCTCCAACAGATACATACTAAGACCCACTCAGCCCTGAAAGAGCTAGGCTGACCTCCTCTCATCACACTCATCCAAGTCAGGGTCAGATCCAACTTGGGCTCCTGAAGCCTGCTGTTTCCTTTCCTGTACCTGTTATACCATTAGCCGAAACAGATAGTCTTGTCTATCTTGTTGCTTTGCATGGTGTGCATAGTTCACTTGAAAGATATCCAACATTCCACATGCTTCACTCCTCTCTTCCAAGATGACATCTTTGTGGGAACATCATGACATAGGTTGCAACATATAAACCATGGGAGAACCAAAATAATAATAGCTGGCAAACAATTATTAAAAAGCATAAGGAAAAGTTTTATTGATGGTGAAAGATATTACATGTTTCGACATTTGGTCTGTGTTCTTTAGGTATGAATAGTATTGTGATTGCACTGTAGCACCAGATTGTGTGGTTGGTTGGTTCACCCTTGGATGCATTTGAATCTGGCACAAAATGGGTGACTGGGTAGGGTTGTTTGTCAGAGGTAAAGTCACTGTAACTGCTGCTCCAGGTCTTTTCTCTCTTATGACTGGCTCACAGTTTAGAACAATTGAACTACACACACAACGTACGACTCTTACCTAGTTACGTAACGACAATTTTAAAATAATTACTTTAACACTCTTGTTATAAAGATTAAATAAGCATTAAATATTAAATCAGTAAATGAAATAAACAACTCTTACACTAAGCAGTCTCTCTCTTCTGAGCCTTACATTCAGCCCATGTAGTTTATTTCATGTTTCACTTTGTTTCCAGTCTCTTAATTTCATCCATTTTCACCAATCAGTTACAAAGAGATTTGGCATCTTGACGGAATCTCTTGTTAGTAAGTTAATGTTGCGTCAGCGAGTCACATGACTACAGTGACGCAACGTTTCTAGAACTATCATGTACTTTGGCGAATGCTCTAGTATTTACTAGATAGGGTAGGCGGGTATATATAAGAGGGGACAACGTGACGCGAGAGGAAGGTAATGTAATGTGTGTATAGACAGTGAGTAATTGAACTGCAGTCAGAGAGCACGAGAGACGTTACAGCGTTTGTTTAGCGCGATTGTTGAAGTTGAGTGTATCGGTAAAGTTATATTCGGAAAGAATAAACTAGTTTTATTAAAAAAGGACTTGTGTCGCTTAAGTTTCGTCAGAACGAAGTTACGGAAAGTTAATTAACAAACGGAGACGTAACAAATTGGTGTCAGAAGTGGGATAAAAAGAAAATGGAAACGAGAAGCGGCAAATCAAACTACAGTTTAGCAGACTTAATGGCAGCAATACAAGAACAGCAAAAGAAACAGGAACAGAGACAACAGCAGTTGTTGGAGGAAAAGAAAAGAAACAAGAAGAACGAGAAAATAAACAAGAAGAGAGATTACAGCAGTTATTGGAGGAAAAAGAAAAGAAACAAGAAGAACGAGAAAATAAACAAGAAGAGAGATTACAGCAGTTATTGGAGGAAAAAGAAAAGAAACAAGAAGAACGAGAAAATAAACAAGAAAGGAAACAAGAAAAGAGACAGCAGCAGTTGCAAGAAAACCTGCAACAGTGGCAGCTCGAACAACAAAATAAAGAAGAAGAGAGATTACAACAGTTGTTAGAGGAAAAAGAAAAGAAACAAGAAGAACGAGAAAATAAACAAGAAGAGAGATTACAGCAGTTATTGGAGGAAAAGAAAAGAAACAAGAAGAACGAGAAAATAAACAAGAAGAGAGATTACAGCAGTTA